GCTCTTTTCAAAGGAAGTAAGTCATATGTCACAAGATTGCATAAGCAGCTATACAGCTCAATGGTTAACAATCGCTGAGCATTCCCTTTTTATAATTTTTTAACGGAACTGTCAATTTCGAAATAATGAATAATAAGTATATGACATGGGATGTCACAAAGGTACGTAAAATGCACAATACAAGTTACCGATCAGACAGATATTTTAATGCATTTAATCTCAAACATCCAACAACAAACACTTCTGATTTAAATACAGTCAATAAAAACCAACTTTGAAAACTGGACTGGGCAATTTTGCCAGATGCGTTATAACAAAAAACTTGTTTTTTTTTGCCACTTGAAGTTATCAAAGTTGAAAAAAAAGATACATAAGAGAAAGAAAATAAACTAACAGAATTAGTACGTACAATATTTTCAATATTATAATAAATTCAGATATACCTAACCTCTCGTAGAATTTCATGTCAATGTTTTGATCCAATTTTTTTTAGTTCCTACAAAAGGAAGATTCTTCAAGTAAAGAATCTCATACAAATGTTGGGAGCAGTTACAGTACATCTGAATTTTCGGGAGATAATCCATCTTTGCTAAGTGATCGAGTGGATTTTTTCAACAAAGGAATTAGCTTTTTAGGATCCTAGACCATTAAAAAAAAAAACTGTCGTTGAAAAGGTATTTAAAAGAAAAATAAAAACAAATGTTGTTCGTAATTGATAAAAAAATTTTCAATTTGAGTCAAGACGATCCAGATGATCTTGAAAAAGACGACGACGAGTCCTCGATAATAAGTGCTTTGAAAGAAAGTCTCAATACTTTGACCAACCGTGATTATAAAATCAAAATTTTGACTTTTTTCCTAACGTAGTCTTTTAAAAAAATTAAGCACACGTTTCCTTCCGCAACTTGTCACATGATAGGCGTAGCAAAAAATATTGCTCAAAATAAGGGATTAATTGGGGATTTAAACCCAAAACAACATCCATCTCTAGATGATAATGTTATCGACACAATTGTTAGCTAGTACCAGTCTCAGGACTACACTAACTATATGCCCGGAAAAACGATTGCGTTTCGATAAAAGTTGACAATAAATCGGGACCTATTCAAAAAAGACTAGTGTTAGATGATTTAAAAGAATTGTATGAAATTCTTGACCTATGAATTGTAGTTTCTTTAAAATTGCTAGCTTAAGGCCAAAGTATTGTATTTTGGCAGGTGCTTCTGGTACTGACTCTGTTTGTGTATGTCCTACACACAAAAATGTTAGTTTATTAGTGAATGCTGCCAATTTTAAATAACTTTCTTTCAGTTCTGAGCTGCCTTTGACTAATCATTAGGATTTTTGAATCGTGTAGTATGCAAAAACAAGACGACTGATTGTTGTTTAAATTCTTGTTAGAAGTGCCAAGGCGTGACGAATGTTATTGAGCAACTGGAGAATATTTTGAAGAAAAATGTATTGAAATTGTTACCTACAAACAATGGGTTACCGTTGAAAGAACCTTATCGCAGACCCTAATTTCTTCAGTTGATAAATTTTTACAGAATTTAAGTAAGGGTTTGCTAAAACTGTTTTTTCATATATTTTTGGTTGACAAACAAAGGGATTTTTTGAATAAGATAAAAAATAAACTGAAAGAAAACGAGTGTATTGTAATTTACGACTATTCAGAAAATTATGCTTTCATAATTTACAATTAGGTTCAGGGTATTTATTGGAACAACGATCAGGTAACGTACATTCATTTTTATTTTATTATAGGAATGCCTTGGATAAATAAAAAATTTCAAGTTTTGTTTGCATTTCTGAATGCCTACGTCACGACACTATAGCTGGACATCTATATCAAAAGCAGTTAATTGAATTCATTAAAATAAATTTATTGTGTGTTAATAAAATAATATAAATGTCTGACAGTGCAAGTGGGCAGTATAAAAATAAAAAAAAACTTTATTAATCTCACTCATCATTTTGAAGACTTAAAGATAGCAGCAAAGTTGCATTTTCTTCCCACTTTACATGGGAAGGGGTCATGCGATGGAATATGCGGGACTGTAAAACTACTAGCTGCCAGAGCAAGTCTTCAGAGAATTAACAATCGCATTTAAACGCCATGAGAACTTTTTGACTGGGCTACAGAATCTCTGCCAAGTATTATTTGTTGTTATATTTACAAATGATGATTACGAAGAAAAAAAAAAATTAGTGCCAGGGAGATTTTTGAGAGCAACAACGTTTCAGGAAACGCTTAAATATTATAACATGGTTTCACTATCTCGTCAAGAATTGGAATCCAGGCTGTTTTCTTTGCACAAAAAAACAAATACTGTGAAAATTTTTAAGTGTCATGATTTTGTATTGAAACTGTAAACAAGTTTTAGGTGTACATGAAAATTTTGTTACATCTATAAATAAATATTAAGCAATCATCATGTTTACTTGACTTCTTATAACACATTTTTATTAATTTAATAAAACATAATTTCCTCGGTTATTATTGCTCATCTTCCTTTAACAAGTAAGAAATTTCTCTTAATAAATGATTAAATGAGGATTTCTCGCTTTTTTGTATGATAATACAAAATTTTGAGGTTATACTGACAAATGGTAACTACAAAAGTTGTAGATCATTTAATTATCTACAACTTTTACGTTAAATTTTTTTTGATACGAGGTACAGATATCATTTTTTACTCAAAAAACAGTTTTTTTTAACATTACGCGCTACATAAATTAACATTTCAACAACAACGATTGAGAAGTTTCCATATTCTAAAAACATGATTTTAACTTAAAATTTGACGCAGAATACGATGGTAATAATAAAAACTCGATTAATTTTGGGGACAATTTTTTCAAGTCAATTAAAACAATTTATCTGTTAATAACAATATTAATTTGTTGGTAACTTTTTTTTTTAATTTTTTTTCTGAAAGTGCAACTCTTTAGCGGAAAAAGTGCCATTGGTAAAAATTTTGTAGATCTTTTAGATTTGGAGCCAGACATTGTTAAAAATGAGTCTTCAACCACTATTATAAGATTTTTTATAACTTATAAAATCGAAAATAGGAAATAAAAAAAAATTCCTTAGACACGTATCCCTTATTTTCCACTATAGAAACTGGAGAAAAATTTTTAAGCAAAATCAGAGAGGTGAAAGTCAAAATCCGTTCAATTTGGAAAAGAATGACCGATATGTATACTTTCGCGTATAATCCGTTCTCACGTCTTATTGGCTAGAGTCTCAGTAACGGGAGCGCTGTCTGAAATTAGTTTGCTAAGTCGCCATCCCCATAGCCCACATAGTCCAGGAAAATTACTTGAATTTTACAATGTTTCAAAAGGTAAATTTTTCGATGGCAAGATAACTAGTAAGTCCACAAATAGTGAAAAAGTTAAATGTTTTTAGTAAACTAGTTTGTTACTCATGATTTTTGTATGAAAATGTTAAAAAAACGTTTAATATGCAACATTTGATGATATGCGTGTAATCATACTTTATGAATAACAATCTTTGAATAAGTGTCGTAGCTAATCAACTGAGGAATAATTATAGCTCTGTTTCGTAAAAATCTGTCTTATAACGACTAAAAATTTGTTAAGCTACAGCATACCCTCAACGCATGCCAAAGCGACTGCTCTATACGTAATACCTACTTATAAAGTGTGGTTTTACAGAAATAAAATATTACATATTTTACGTAGGTTCAACATTTTTACATAAAAATCAAGAGTCGCAAATCAGTTTATTGAAAAAAGCGTATTTGTTTTCTATTTATAGACCACAATCTCGCTCTTGTATAATGTACCATGAGAATCATTGTAAAATTCAAACAATTTTTCTAAACTTCTATCTACTTGTCAATCACATCGCGCCTCGTATATGGACCTTGACCTTCCTATAGCCTCACCACTTCAACGTAACATTTATTTCATTGGGATAACTTGTCAAGACGCAATGCAAACTTAGAGTATCGTGCATTAGTAAAGATAAACTAAAGAATTGTATTAGCTTCCTAAGCTTATTTTCAACTTTAGCTGAACTTACATTCTAACGCCCAAATTCTGTAACCGTTTTGTAATTTAGTCATTTTGTGTACAATAAGAAATGTGCTATATAAGTCTCCTGATACGCCCAATATCGTGTACGAGAAAAGGTTATCCAAAACGTAATAGTATATAGTTTGTGAAAGACATACAAATCATAGAAATTGGTTTTCTTGTACGCTTTGTGGCTCACGCGGTCAATTGCTTTGTAAAAAAATTGATTTTGATAGTACAGAGTACAGTGACCCCTACATGAGGGTTATTACTGCAGTTATCTTTTTCTAATATAAAAAAATATATAAATATATACATATATATTTGCAGGACTGGTTATTAGTGTTTTTGGTTTTGTTTTACCAAAGATACCCAGTAGATAGTGTCATAAAACAAAATTCAACTTATCTACATCATAACTGTTGATGTACGTTCCATTCCAAATAACCTCACAGTAATGAAAAGCTTATCAGTATCAAGTGTAAGTATTTTTAACTTTTCAGATGTAATTGGTAATAATTTTTTTATGCAAGTCCAAAGTGTTTTCCATTAATCATAGTTTGAAAAACCATTCAGTATGGTACTGATGGAAGGTGGTCAAAACAATCTGTCACCAAATCAGAGTACTCGTGGGAGTAAATAAAATTCTGGAAATCCTGCGATCAGTGGTAATCTGTGCAAAAGCACCTATGGATCTGATACTATTGCATCGTCAAGCAGTAAAATGAATGTTAAGGTTGAAGCATCCTGGTATGTTGACATGCTTGAAAAAGTATAAGAGGATGATGCCTGCAAACATGTAGCTAAATTGAAAAAAGCTCTGGTTCAACGTGTCAATATAGAAAAAAAAAAAAAAAGCAATCAAAATGTGGTAATGAACGTTCTGCTGCAGCAGCTGTCAAAAAGCAGCGTGAGGCTAAGCAAAAAAGAAAAAATCTTCAGATGTAAATCTTTTTTGAAGCAAAACAAGTGAAGAAACGTGTGAAGAAAGAAGAATCCATGCTACTGGATTCGTTGGCAAGTGTTAACTGTCGTAAATCAGCGGAAAAATATGCAGACGAAGCTGTTCCTTCGATGAAAGCAGCAGAGGCTTAACTCACAGCCCTCGAAGCTAGAATATTTAATCATGAAATTCATTCAGCAAATACTGATGAGAAAATAGAAAATCTATAAAAAAAATCGATAAGCAAGAACGTGTAAGTGTATAAATTATTCCTGAGATACAATTATGATAGACAAGTAATTGATTATTATTGATTATAAAAATAACTTTTTCTTTTACAGCAACAAGGAATAACTTATACTTTAAAGCATAATATGAAACGTGTTAAAGAGTTGCTCGTAGAAAATAGAATTCTAACTGATCAAGTAAGGTCGAAGGATTATATGGTGAGTGCAACAGAGTTAATTGATTTTTTTTAATACCATATACGAAAATAAAGACCCTTTTACGTATTAAAAAAAAAAAAAAAAAAAAA